CAATAACCAAAAATAATCTCCCCTCCTCTGAAGTCATTCTCCCTCACATTCTAAAATATATAAAGAGAGGGGAAGTAGCAGAAAATTGCCAAGATGAGAAGGTAAAACAAAGAATAAACCAAAAAGGAAGAAACCAACAAAACAGAGCAAGAATAAATTACCTCGGTTGGCCTACAGCCACACAATTATTTGGACACTGGCCCTCTCTCTGTACAGAGCAGCAGAGGAAATAGAGAAACCAAAAAAGGGGCATTTTCACCCCACCTGCTAGCAAAATCAATGGTATCAGCAGGCTCTACAGGCACCAGATTTACTTTCCTTGACTTGAGACAAGATATAATGTAGGGCCTCTGGGATTAAAAGAACAGAAAAAAGTAATACCCTGCTTGAAAAGCCCCTTCACAACATTCTAAAGAAAGTGAAGCAACAATGAAACATGGAGGGTGGGAACAGACATGTGTAAAAAAATGGCAAACATAGATAAAAGGAAAATATACCAAATCCAAAGGAGCATATCCTGATTTGCACTGCTTCTCAACACAGAAAAAAGAGCCAATCACTTAGAGCACTTGTATACTTTTACTCTCAGAGCCACTCTAATTCAAGCACTACCACGTCTCTTGTATCAGCGTCCCCATGCTTAAAAAGCAAGCACCCCCACTGCCCTTTTTAAACACAGGGATGCTGATACAGGAGACACAGGAGGCTGCTGGAGCATGGAAACTGCAAACACGATTAATTCCAGCAGACTGCTGGAATTCCAATGCACTGAAGCAGCTTCTGCACTCGTGTACAGGTGTCCTTATATTTTAGTATAGAGACCACACAATTTTTACCCATCCATCTGAACTGATATAAAATCATACAGAACAACAGCTGAAACTTTAAAAAAAAGAAAAAAGAAAAGTATATTCCTTCAAATTTCATGCACCGGAGAGTAGAAGGGATATGGGAGAGTCAGCTAGAAAATACCACACAGAAAAGAATCCTAGGTATAAAAGGCAGCTCTTAAAATCCTTTACTTCAGGTCTCCCAAGTACCAACCATTCTGAGACTGGACCTCAAAAATCAGCCTTAGGTCTCAACACCAGTAACGCAAAGTGGAAAACAGTACTGCCACAATGTTTCAGAAAAAGTTTAAATGACAATCACTCCACTTTTAAAGAGCATATTTAACATAAGAAGTGACAGGGGTTAATTTTAGTAAATCTTCATTCTTCTATGATCCGATATTTTGCCTTCAATGTATCAAATCATATTCAGAGAATCTCAAAAGTTGTTAATCAGGTTTTTAGGAAGATGGAGATTCCTACAGCCCCAACATCAAACACAGCCTCAGAGACCCTCCTCCATTCTAAGGCAGCACTTATCCTTGCCACGCTCAGTGCCTAGCAGCACGTATGAATAGGTATATACAGATATATTCTTTAGCACAAGACCACAAAAGACATTCATCAGCGCTAAATCATTGGAACATTATTGCTATTTATCACATAAGTTTATACTCAGCATCAATGTACATGGCTGGAGACTGGCAGGGCACTATGTGTACCTGCCACTTTATGGCCCTGGAGCTGGCAGCCTCCAGGTGCCTAATGAGGGCAGCCATTTTAGGCTCAGGGCTGCCTATATAAACAAGGCAGTTTGGCTGGCCTGAGGGCTGCCAAGTTTCATCTGGAGATAAGGGAGGAGCTATAGGGGATGGCAGGAGGCTCCTGGCCCTGGGTATGACCTGCAACTACACCCTGCTGGGAGCGGGTGGCCTGGTGGGGCTCCCAGTGGCACAGAAGCCCCTAGGAAATGCCAGGCCAGTGATCACCCTGGTGAAAGGTGGGTCGGGGCGCCTTAACCCCTAGCCCTCACCTTTGGGTGGGTCACGTACACCAGTGGTAGTTGTGGGGGTGCAAGCTCCAAGAAGGAGAGTTGGAGGCCAGGTGTGGCTAAGGCCGCCTGAGCCCTGTGGGGGTTCAAGACCCCGAGGAGGAGAGTTGGGGTCAGGCACAGCTATGGCCATGGCCACCTGAGCCCACCTGCGGAGGGAAGCCCCAAGACCCTGAGTAAAGGGGGCATTACGAGCCGTGTGGAGCCCCCCAGTGTGAAGGGGGCAGCGTGTGGAGCCCCCCAGTGTGAGGGGAGAGGGGGGCTCAGCCAGAGGGCAAGAGAGCTGAGTCCTGACTCCAGTAAGTCCTCCAATGCTGGGAGGCAGAGTTCAGGTCAAATATAACATCTGAGCCCCAGCTGAGAGGGGGCCAGCGCTGTGGAACCACAGCAAGAGGGGGAAGTGATCAGAAGCCCCAAAGAGAAGAGCCCTGTGAAGGGAGAAGTGGCTCAGCCAGAGAGAGCGAGAGCTCAGCCCTGACCCCAGTAAGTCCTCCACCATTGGGAGGCAGAGTGTGGGTCAAAGATAACACCGGTCGTAGCACAACAACCTGCTGCCCGGGGGGGGGGGGGGGAGCGAGTCCCCTGTAAGACCCTGAGGCACCAGTCATGGTGTGAGGTAACCCCAGCTCCCCACCTCTGAGAGGGGGACCCAAGGATAAGAGTATGGGTCATACAGTGAGGCCTGCCAGAGCTTCCCCTGACTGGCCCAGGTGGGGGCCAGGACCAGGAGGGTCAGAAGGGCAAGGAGGCCCACCGAGAGGGACGCCCAAGAGCCAGGGGCCTGGGGTCCTGACTGGCCTGGAGGTGGGCCAGGGCTAGTGCGAGCTGAAGGTCCCAGTGAGGGGACCATATCCGAAGGGGAACTGATGGCAGGGCGATATGTGGCCTGGTATGACGGCAGCAGAGTCCACCTGAAGGGAGCAACCCAGGTGGGGTCCTACAGTAGGATTCTGGGCCCCATGGTGGGGGACTGGCACATGAAAACATCATGAGGTCATCTGTGAGGCTTGGTCTGCTATGTAGGGGAGGAATGGAGCCGCAGATAGCACCCCCTAGCAGCAGGGCAGAAACTGGGCAGCCTTCCAACTTAAGTGGACAATTAAAGACACAATGATCAATCACTAAAATCTTCATTTGCACCAATACCCTGTACAAGGCAAACAGTAATGATGTAGTTTAATATTAAAGCGATATAAAATAAAATCCCAGATGCAATCAGTTTTCTAAAGCATAGCTGGTTCCATTCCTCCCACACAAAAATTTGTAACCTTAGATGCAACTCTATGCAATATTCAAGTGATACAGATGATTTCCCAGAAGACAATGACAAAATGAACTTTCCACATTTCCAATAAAAATGCAAAATTTGGAGTTCACGTTTCCTTCACCCATGCAAATTGTTCTGCAATGCAAAGGGATACTGATAGCATTTGATTTTCTTATTCCCTATTAGAACGGCTTATGTATATGTCTAAATGAGACACGCAGTCTACACTGTTCTATGAGAACAAAATAAAATTTACATTTTCTTGCATATAAAGGAAAAGGAAGCTGAGGTTGTTTCCCACATAAGAGAAGCTTCTGTACTATCATAGCAACTGACCTCTGAATGAAGCACAGGACAAAAATTTTCAACCAGAAAAAATGAAACAGAAAATTCCTTTAACCATATTAGCTTTTTTCAGAATGTACTGCATTCAAAAGCTTATTTAATAACAGGTATCACTCTCAAAAATCCTGCCTCCTGCATATTTCCTCAACCATTATGGCTGCAACATCACTCCAGCACTACTGGCTTTTTTTTTTTTCCAGACATTTTTCTGTCTGGCACATTCTTCATTACACAGTCTACTCTGCTGTGACTGGAAAAGCACAGCTTCTTGGAATATCTATTACACAATTGCAGAATAAAGATAAGAAGTCAAACACAGTTCTATCTTTTAATTTCTTCCTGATGGTCATGGAGACTCTCCTCATGTTACAATGCCTCTGGGACTCACAGTTACAGACTAAGAAAGAAATTAAACTTAATTCCATAAAGCCAAAAGACAAGGAGGTATTGATTTGTCCCCTATTTGTCTGGTTTTAAAATTGTTTCAAAAAGAGAGTATTACTTTAAGATTCATACTTTGCAGATGAACCTGTGTACATTTGCTTGATAAATCTTTCTGCCATGTTTTAGAAAAGTACTAGTGATGGCCATAGTAAAATAACAGTATTACAGTTAAAAGGCAAAGTCCTGCTATTAATGTTGCACAATACCTTATCTAAAATAGTCCAAAGAAAAAAATTATTATATTTCTAATTTATAATTAACAGGAAAGATTTGCTTTCTAACCACTCCAAAGAAACTCTAAAGAAGCATCTATCTGAACATTATTGAATATGAGCAACGCAAAAAACCTTATGAAACCACAGAATCATAGAAAAGTAAGACTGGAAGGTTCTCAGGAAGTCATCTAGTCCAACCCCACTGCTCAAGGCAGGATCATCCTAGTCTAAACCATCCCAGTCAAGTGTCTGTCTAACCTGCTCTTAAAACATTCCGCAGATGAATGTTCTATAGCCTCTCTAGGTAATTTGTTCCAATGCTTAATCACTTTATAATGAGAAATATCTTTTTAATATCTAACTTCGATTCCCTTTGTTGCAGTTTAAGACAATTATTTCCTCCTGCCCTGTGAGGCCACAGAAACTAGCCTATCACATGAGATGGCAACTTACGGACCATGGAGCCACTGAATTCAACAATTTGTGGAGGTGCAGAGCTCTGCCTGCACTGCAGCTGGTCGAGGGACAGCTTCAGCTGCCCTATGGCACAGCTGGGCAGCAGGAAAAGTGGCAACAGGGGCCAGCTAGGTCATTGCAGCCTGCAGCTACAAAACACTGCCAACCACTGGTCTATCACCAGCTGCTCTACAACTATCCTTCAGGAATCTGAACACTGTTATCAAATATCCCCTCAGTCTTCTCTTCTCCAAAGCTCTTTCAACCTTTCCTCTGTCATGTTTCCCAGGCCTTTAATCATGTTTAAAGCTTTCCCCTGGATTCTAATTTCTCCACATCTTTCTTGAAGTGCTAAGCCCAAAACTGGACACATTAGCACAGATGAGGCTCACCTGTGTTTGACAAGACAGAAGACTCTCTTCCCTTGACTAGTAGGTGACACTCCTATTAATACAGCCCAATACGATACTGCCTGTTTTTCCTGCAACAAAAAACCCACTGCGTAGTCATATTAAGGTTATGGTCTACTAACACATCCAAGTTCTTTTCTGCAGTTTAGTCAGTCATTCTCCAATCTGTAGTTGGGCATTTGATTGTTCCACCCCAAATGCAGAACTTTGAACCTAACTGAATTTTAGTCCCTTCTGACCCTACTAACTATGAAACTATAATTAATTTGGACCATTTCTCCAGGCTACCAAGGTCATTCTGAATCTTAATCCTTCCCTACAGAACATATGCAACTCTACAGAAACCCACCACAATACAGCAAGGAAAACAGACAGAACATTATATTTTGATACTTCAGTGGCACTTGAAGTGGGGCAGTGAGCGGGCCCGTCTGTAAGGCTGGGGGGACCTCCAAACAAAAAAAAAACCCCTCAAGACAAATATGATGTCTACTTATAACCTTAGAGACTAACTGTGTAGCCTCTAGGGTACCACCCTAGCCTATCTTCTGCCTGACTTCAAACTCACATGGATAACCACCTTTCAAGCTTACCCATAAGAACAGCAACGCTTTTAAAAATATTTCCCATTTCCCAATGTTTCCCCCGCCAAAAAAAAAAAAAAAATCATATTATACCACATCCACTTCTCTCCTTCATCTGCAGAGCCCATTACCTTGTCTCGTAATGACCAAACCTGTCATAAGGAAAGATTTTCAAATATACTGACAAAATTAGTTTGGGGACTAGTGCTACATGAAAAAAAACCTAACAAACCCAGAATCAAAGTGTAAAATGAACCATCTCTTCTATACTTCTCCCCACTTACCAAAACCATTTATTAAAACACAAGGCCTAAAGGTACTCTAAATACAGGCACACCTCATCTTATTGCGCTTCGCAGATGCTGCGTTTTTTTACAAATTGAGGCAAGACCCTCCACCAGCAAAAAGATTACGACTCGCTGAAGGCTCAGATGATGGCTAGCATTTTTTAGCAATAAAGTATTTTTTTTAATTAAGGTATGTACATTGTTTTTTTAGACATAATGCTATTGCACACTTAATAGACTACAGTATAGTGTAAACATAACTTTTATATGCACTGGGAAACCAAAAAATTTGTGTGACTTGCTTTATTGCGATATTTGCTTTATTACAGTGGTCTGGAACCAAACCCGCAATATCTCCGAGGTATGCCTGTATATTGTTTACTACATACCGAAGCCCTTGGGTTCAATTTTCAGAAGTGCAAACACCTGTCTAATTTGTGAACAAAAATTAGATGCATCTTTGGGCAACAATTAAGGAAAATGTATGAACATGCAAAAATCGAATGCGAACACTTATTTGCACATGCAAATATGACATTCACAATTCCATATGCTCATTCTGAAAATAAGGTGCTTAGCTGCTGTAAGGTAACAAACATTTTATTTATACACACATGCATATATAAAGGGCTTAGATTATCTGTCTGTCCGTAACACTCTTGGGGGACGTGGCTCGCGCCAGTGCTGTCAAGAATAATGGGTGGGGCATGGCTCCAGTGGAGCGGGCCAGGCGAAGCAGGGCCAGATATGGAGCAGGGGGGACAGTGGGGAGCAGAGCTGGGTGCAGAGCAGTGGCAGTGGCACACAAGCTCCCCTCTCCCCCTGCTCCTGGGAGGCAGCAGTAGGTGGTGGTTGGTGGCATTCTGTCCCCACCCACATCCCCTTCCCTATCATTCTTGATGGGCAATTCGCTAGTTTAAAATAAACACGCACCTATAACAACAGGCACAACCTACTGGGATAAGAAATGCTAAATATAAGACTGTGACTGCACTGCTTTTTTCCCCTACTAAATTTCTCATTGAGTAGCAATAGTGACATAGAAGCAACAGAGTAGCAGAAGAAAAAAAAAAGGCATAACTGGTCTGCACTAATGTTCTTCATTACTTCCACCAATGAATTGTGCTAAACACAACATCAGAAAATTTGAAAAAAAATGCTACTTTACACAGAGCCTAAGAACCAGTGATGTGAAATTGAAATTTAGCATGAACACACTGGGAATCTCTATTAAGCCCTGATGATGCCTACACTGAAAATGTGCATTATTTTTAAAAGCATCTATATTCCTTTAGAAAAGAAAAATTGGACATTTGGGATCTTAAATTCGACTGAAAAAAAATCAGTGTAGTTTAAGCTTGTAAATGTCTGCCACTTTTGAAAACGAGACTTAGGTGCTTTGGATATTATATCTTGACCTTCTAAAACTTATCCGTACTTGTACCACATACCATTTCCACAGGACTCAATAATAACCGACAAGCTTTACCCACAAGTGATAGCAACCTTGCTAACACCAATTCACTTAAAAAAAAAAAAAATAAAAAGTCGTTAAGTACAAATGCCTAACTACTAGGTGCTCAGTAGATTTATCTTCGAACTATCTTAAGAACTAATGATAGTCTAACATAGTAAAGCCCAGCATGAATTGCATTCCATTTCAACATGGTTATATATCATATTAGTACCACACTAATATCCTAATTTGACCTTGACCGAATAACTTTGACCCCTATGGAACATTTCCAGAGCCAAAGTTCAATGTACATTTTCAAAAGTACCCAAGCAACTTTAATATTTTTGACTTCTTTTGTTTTGTTTTAATTTTGTGGGTTTTTTGGATTGTTGTACTATAATTCAAGTCGGTCTTGCTTGCATAGCTGGAGCCAAACTGTGTTATAGTCCTGAAAAGATAAGAACTCATTATGAGCTATCACTTGATAATATGGTTCTAAGATATTTGCATATCAGGCAACACAGGTGTCTGGTGGCTCTTGAGTCAGGGGGCCACATGCCCCC